GTGTAGAATATATATGGAAGTTGTGTCAATATCAACCTAATTCCTCTCATGTAATCCATATACGAACACTGTAAATCTCTATCTAATACAACACTCAATCATTACTATTATGTATAATCTTTATACTACGTACTGTGAAACATTTTGTCCTTTCCAAAGAGTTTTGGACTAATAATATTAAGTTAATGTTGAGGCCGCCAAAAAAGAACCGCTTAAACCCTTCTTTTTTTTTGTACTACACTTAAACCATTTCAAGTTTCTATAAAACCCTAGGGTTTTACATTGCTCAAATTTGCTCTGTTTTGACGCAGAAGTTGAAGGGACGCATTTTGCTCTTCTCTATCGAGATCCTGCACCGAGGATTACTTGCAGGGAGTGCGACAACGAAGAATTCGTAGAACAAGATGGGTTTTTTTACTGCGTAGAGTGCAATGTTCGGGCCGAAGGTATAATTGCAACCACAGTAGACGAGAGAGATTACATCGGAAAAGGCGGAGGTACTCGCGGCGCACTGTATCAACCAATCAACACTCGCCGTCCGTCACAACCCATCACTCCTTCACACCCTCTTCACACTAAAGAAACTATTCGTTACACTCAATTTCGCTCTCAGCTTCAATCCGAGACTCCACTATCTGCTCATGAGAAACTCGACACAGAGCCAACTGAGCCTGCGGATTTTGCAGCAGCGCCAGTGAGTTTGAGTTACCAAGATTATTACCAAGAGACAAGAGATCGATACGTGAATGGTTTTCTGATGATGATAATGCAGCAGTGCGATGCTTTGGTTGACAAATTCAATGTGACTCCTTTGATTATTGGTTTAGTCGCACCAATCTGCTTACGTCACGTAGCTCTCACGGGTGTTTTCGATGATGGTTGGGCTGATAAAGCCATTCATGACTCTGAGTCTCAATCACAAGGTAGAATTTTGTCTCTGCTTGTTCAGATTGATCTTTACATTTGTACATTCTTGTGATTTTGTTTGTTACTAACTCTTGACTCTTTTTGGTGTCTCCAGAAGAAGAAGTAAGAGAGGCTAAGCGGCCTAACAGACACCATGAAGAACCTAAAAACTTAGATGGTAAAAGAGCAGTAACGATATGGGTTAATCTGCTTAGAAAGTCTATGCCATTATCGAGCTCTTTGGCCATATCTTTCCTTGCTTGTCACAAAGCAGGAGCACCCATTCTCCCTACCGATATAGTGAGATGGGCACGAGAAGGAGAGATTCTGTTCCTATCTAGTTTTCTCAAGATTTCAGAGCAAATGGAAGAGATAACAGCTTGTCCTGTTCCTATAAGCGTAATGTTTAGGCCTCAAACGATTGTTTCTGCTCAGATGTTAGAAGTACGAGCCGCTTTGATTGCTGATATTATTGGTATGCCTTTGCCTCCTGTAAATTTCTATGGCATAGCTTCAAACTATCTACAGCGGTTATCTATTCCCGAGGACAAGGTTCTTGACCTTGTGTGTCTCATACAAAACTGGTCAATGCCTCCGGGTCTATATCTATCCAAGAACGAGCTTAAGCTTCCTACCCGCGTGTGTGTCATGTCTATTATTATTGTCGCTATACGGATACTTTATAATATTAATGGTTTCGGTGTGTGGGAACGGAGTTTGGGATTAGTTGGTGCTAGTGAGGCGGATGTCAATTCTGAGGAGTCTGATTCTCCAATTCATGATGAGATTGAGGAGCTTTCAGAGACAAACTCAGTTGCGGCAGAGTCATCAGAATTCACGAAAGCAACTGAGTTTGACACCGAGGAGCTTTTGAAGAAACTTGAATCGAGATATCATGAGGTCGCAGCTGAAACTTATGGTAAATCTCTAATACCAACCTATCTTCCCCTTTATGAGATACATATCTCTCTATATTATAACCTTCTTGACTCTTGTTTTTTGTTTTGCAGGATATAAAAAGGATCTTTTTGTCCTATTTATCGCACGGGAAAAAGAGATCTTTGCTGGTTTAGAAAACGCATCATCTGGTGACGCATATAGAACTATTGATAAGCTGTGGAATGGTTACTCCAAAAATGAGGTAGAAACTTATGCTTCAAATTCATCTATGGAATCTGTCAAAATTATTTCTTTAAAACCCGAATATAAGCCATTTCCTACACACGTATGTTGTAGAAATTCGAACGGCTTGGGACTCCATTAAAGAGAGTTAGAGACTCGAAAAATGATGTATCACTCAACCAACTTTCATTGGATGGAAACAATCCTTGTACTAGTCTGTCAATGAGAACCGAAAGCGGAACAATGGATCATGATCAGTGTTAAGAACACTGAGTTTCATCACCAGAGACTAATAATCAAGAAGAGAAATCAGAAGAGAGATCGATAAGAAGATTAAAAGCAGACATGGGAGAGAACTTGTTCCGTTACATTCCGCCTCGTGTGAGGGTAAAGAGACTAGACTACCTTCAATATGCGAGGAAGAAAGAAGATGGAGTATTGATATATGCGGCTCACGCGGATTACTACATTCTTTTGCGGGTTTGCGCTAAAGTCACCGAGATTGATGCTAAAAATATGCATAGAGGTGTATTGAGCTTTGAAAAAAGATTAGCTTGGATTGAGAAAAGGATAGATCAGGTTTTGCATCTAACTCCACCTTCAGTGACTCGTGAGGACGGTCGTGATGGTGGAAATGTTGTAGCAGAGAATCAAGATGACGATCCCAGTGACAAGAAAGCATGTTGATTTGGAAAGCCCTTGTGTCTGCAACTGTGATGCAGCGGCACCTTA